CATGTGTACACACACATATATGATATGTATAACATAACAAATACTATTCGACCCCATTTTTTGCACATTGATGTCATCAATGACACAGTCTCCCTTTCTGTGATTCTCCTTTATAGCAGCCTTTGCTGCCAAAAAGATTTGTCTTTTGTGCTTGGTCTTCCAACCTACATTGATTCCCTCTAACAGATCGAAGTGTTTCATATTGAAGGGATAAAAAGATGAGGGGACAGCTTTGTCATTCCTGAGCTCTGAGCATGGGTGGTAATCCCCCCATTTAAAGAGTTTTCCAACAAAGCTTTCCACAGGATGTCCTCCTCTCCCAGTAAACCACTGCCTTAATCTTTTCTCGTCTTCATCCTTCTATTTCAGAAGCAAACAGACTCAAACAACCTTGTCCATTATAAAGGATGGAGGGAGGCCTCCCCACTGTTGCACCATGTGGGTGGGAGAAAGAAGCAGAAGAATCAAATCCTGATTTTACTATAAATGAGGCTTGTATTTCATACTTAGCAGTTATTGGAATTCCTTCTTAACAGCTGGTTAACCTGGTTCTTGCAATAAACATATTTATCCAAGAACTGCATCCACGAATCACTGCTTGCCCAACATGAGTTCTAAAACTGACCAACAAGACATTAACACAGAGCCTTGCTGGGTATAATAAATGAATTGAAGGGGCATTCTCCTTGTATTTCTTCGACTTTATCTGTCTTCTCACTCTATTGAATTTCAAATTGTTATAGTTTTGGTCAACTTCTACTATTTTTCCCTGTGAACTACCAAACGCATTGATGGTTCAGTAATAGCAATAACAAGTAACAAATAGATCAAACTAGAAATTGCAGTGCTCTTCAGCCTTTTGCACCTTGTTGTTAACCACACGGAAATGTTTGGAACTCACAAATTCTGCTGCAATGCCCGGCCCAGGGGGCCCAGGCAATCCGCGGGGTCCCATTGGCCCAGGAAGGCCTGCGAGACCAGGTTCACCTGGTATTCCTGGCACTCCTGGCACTCCTTGGTTACCCTGAACGAAAATTGACAATTAAGATAAGTCTATTTCTAACAAGGGGTCAAGTATTCAGAGCCATGCAAATTAGAATTTCAAAATAGATGAAAAGGAATTATAAATACCATCAACATAAAATTGAACTTGCTCAGAAGCTGAAATACACCAAGTAAATAATATGAAGAGTGTGGAAGAGAGGTAAGGGAAGAAGAGAGTGATAGGAGAGAGGGCAGGGGGGGGGAGAGGAGGAGAGAAAGGAGGAGTGGAAAGGGGAGAGAGGAGAAGGA